TGATGGTATTGCCAGGAATCTTTGCTCCTTGTTTAGCACCATGGTACTCTACTTTAGCCCTATGAAAGTTGGAGAAGAAAAATCTCACTTCAGAGGGCCAAAAAGTTTAGATGATGTTTTAGGCTGCTTCTATTCCCTCAGCATGAAAGCAAGTTTTTCTTCTTCATAGTTTCTGTTTTGTTAATTTGGTCCTTTCATTCCAGGACTTAAAAGAGACCACAGAAGGGTCAGTGAAGTTGGCAGAGACCACTGGAAATCACCTTGCTGGCACCTCAATCATTTGTAACAAGAGGTTGTCCGCAGCAACTTCCAGATCACCTGAGCCCTCTTGTCCTTCCAGAAGATCATTGACATCACTGTAGTACCCCATGAGAACTGGATCTTTGAACATGAGGATTCTCCCAATTCTCTGAAGAAGGCATAATCTACTTCACTCAGCCCTCCTCTGTGACCCTCCCTCTTAGGAGAAGGGCCAAGGCAAACACCACCTGGGTTCCCACACTCTTGATCATCATACCCAGAGCCATACCATCACATACAACACTTCCCAGGCCACCCCAACAGTATCACTAATGCCTACACGGAAGAGCAGCAAGGAGTAAGAGGCTCAGATGACCATCAGCGGGCTTTCTATAACATTCTGAATATGAGCTGTAAACAAAAGCAAAGGTCTCTAGATGACAGGTCAGTTCAGCAGGCAGATTTTTATTTTTAAAACCAGAAGTGAACATGACTTCATGATGAGGTAAATATCTGCATTAACAGTTGCACTTCTGCTAAATTCTTGTGCCATGTCAAGATATGTGTTTTTAACTGTAAATTACTGCAGCTAAAGAAAAAAAGAGAATTTAGAATAGTACTTGAACTGTATTGGCATTTATTAATGCTAATGCCGCTTCTTTAGACAACATACATTTGCACGATACCTTTTCATCTAGAGTCAATTCCCTCAAGCATATGGATAAGACTAAGTAGTATCACAGGAAGACTGTTAAGTGGCATTCTTGGAAATACTAGGTGAAACACAGAGGATATCTGTTTTTTCTCCACTGGCTTTGTAAGAGAGAAGATGATGTTAGCCTCTTCTACCTAAAACTGAAAGCACTCTGTCCAAGGGCATTAAGGTGAGAGGATTTTACTCATTTAATAAATGTGTAATGGTTTTTTTTAATCAACATATGAAATTTGTCAGTAGAATGCTTTAGGGAAGATATTTTGAACACTGTCAGATCAATGGACATAGGATTAATTTCATTTTTAAACCACTTTATTCTTTATATAGCCCATGACCCCCACTTCAAATAATTTACGCTTTGGTACATGGTAGTTTGTCTTGTTGCTAAACCAAGTGGCAATTTTAATCAATGCACTTTAGTGCTTTTTTCCTCATGCCTCCTGCAAATCGTATTGTGCACTAATTACCAATGCTGCAGACACACACTGGGGAGTAAGTAGCATTTGCAATAATCAGGCTGCACAGGGAACATCAGAGAAAGGGTAAAATAGCCTTGCAAGCTTTGGAAAAAATGATGTAGATTTCATTAACTGGTACCACCACTGCTGATTCTGGTTCTTGAATATACTAAACAACATTTTTTTCTATATAAAACAGTACAAGTTCAGTAGCCCAGATTAATATTTCACTATAGGGAGAAGCTGAACAGCTGATCTTCTGTATGTATTTATCTTGAATGAATAGCTTGTTCACATTGCGGGAAAGAAAAGCAAATGTTAAGAAGAAGGCATATGAAGACACTAGAATTAAATCTGGGAATTGATTGTGAGGGATGTAAGGGGAAGATAATGCTGTCATGGCTTGAAACAGTAAAGGCAGAATAGAATCCAGTGTTGTTATGCTGGGAGTGGTTAAAAAGTCAAGTAAAACTATTAAACACATCATACTGTAGAAGCACCCACTATTCCTCACAGCTTCTTCTGAGAAGTGGGTATAAGCACTGAAATGAGGGAAAGCACAGCATTAGACAATCCCACACCAACAGTGATAAGTGTACAGAAGGTACAGATTCAACTGACTAAAGAGGCAATAGCATCCCTTGTTATACACTCAGAATATTCAGCAGTCCCATCATCCAGCAGAAGCTGGGTGGACACCCCCTTCCCCCTGTCTATAGTCTTTCAGCATCCTACAAAAATGCACTGATCACCTCAGAGGTTTGCAGGGAATAAGAGTAAGGGAAAACAAACAAAAACCAATGGAACACGCACACAGTCTACAGATCTGGTTGCAGATAAATATGGGGACACTAGAAGCTCCAGGTGCACCAAATGAGCTTGAAGTGTAATAGTACTTACAGCTTGCTATCTATAGCTTACTAGTATTTGTTTTAAGCTGGTCTGTGGCACAGACATAGTATGTTCTCATCTGTCTGCAAAAGACTGCATGAGTCTGCATGAATGAACCCCTAGCGGGATGGCAGTAAGGATCCTATTATGATAGGAAAAAGCAAAAGCAGAAAGGAAGAGAATGAGCCATATATACCCTGGAAGCAGGAGAAAAAATGACTGAAAATTCAGGAGCTATGACACTGTGACACTGTCAGATTAAATACATTTGAAAAAATGTAGAACAAAACATAGTGTTGCATTTGTTGTACTCAGCCTCAATTAATAAAATCCTCCAGAATTCCTCCTGTTAATCACGGAATCATAGAATGTTTTGGGTTGGAAAAAACCCTAAAGATCATCTAGTTGCAACTTCAACTGCTGTAAGCAGGGAGGCCACCCATGGGATCATGTTGCCCAGGACCCCATGCAGCCTGGCCTTGAAAACTTCCTAGGACAGAGCATTCACAAATTCTCTAGACAACCTGTTTCAATGTCTTGCCACTCTGTGAGTAAAGAAT